GGCACATACGAGTTGAATTACTGGTACGTATTATTAATTCAAGGTACATGCGCGTTGAATTACTGGTACGTATTATTAATTCAAGGTACATACGCGTTGAATTACTGGTACGTATTATTAATTCAAGGTACATGTGTTTGAATTACTAGTATGTACTATTAACTACTAGTACGCACTATTAATTACTAGTACGCACTATTAATTCAAGGTACATGCGCGTTGAATTACTGGTACGTATTATTAATTCAAGGTACATGCGCGTTGAATTACTGGTACGTACTATTAATTCAAAGTGCATGTAATTGCAAATTTAAAACGAAAACTACTGTGTGTTCTTTACACACAACGCCTGCACCAGTTTAATGTATGAGCTGAATGGATACAACCATATATACTGTATTAAAATAACATCCATATTGTCCATTCAAATATAGGTATACTGCTTGGGCTATTATAATTGAAAACGTCACGATATATGTACCCATGCTTAATTACAAGTCACATTTTCTCCGCGAATGTCTCTGCCATGGCAACCCCGACACTGAAAGTCGAATATTCAAGACAACACCGACACATGAGACTTCAGCTAGGCTGTGTTACCATACAAACAAGAGTGTGAATAGAATTTATTGATTACCTCTGACGCCCCACTTGTTTTCCTTGTGATGTTCATTTGCAATGACTTGACTATTGAATTCGCCTGTTTGACTTCCACTGTCATTGCAATGGACGGAGTTAGCTGTCTTCCATAATACTCGAATTGGAACGAACGTGACATCAACACGGAGTGCCATAAATCTTGCAATGCAAACCTCTGTATGGATAGAGGATATACAAGATAGTTTATCATAATTATAGATTTTGTTGGTTGAGCCAGTGTATATCTTTATCGCATAGTGTGTACTAAATATACTTCATTATACCGTGGCGCAGTCTGTAGCAGCTCAATAGCTTGTAGACTTCAAGCAAAAATTATAGCAGTGAATGCTTCATTTAATAATCGTTATTCAAAGTATAATTTCTTTATGCGTGAGCAGTCTACTGTCTCAGTCTGTTGTTGCGGGCCCAGTCATTTTTGTGGGTCCCGAACTGTCCCAGTGTTTTGTAGCGGGTCCCAGTCAGTTTAAGTCTGTTGTTGCGGCTCCCGAACGGTCTCAGTATGTTGTCGTGGGTCCAAAACTGTCCTTAGTCTGTTGTTGTGGGTCCCCCAATGACCCAGTCTGTTGATGTGGGTCCCCCAATGACCCAATCTGTTGTTGTGGGGCCCTCACTGTTCAGGTCCGTTGTTGTTCGTCCCGGAATGTTAACGTATGTTGTGGTGGGCCCGTCACTGCCCCAGTCTGTTGTTAAAGGTTCATTTTGTCTGTTTTAGGCTCCGAAATGACCTAATCTTATGATATGGACCCGTCACTGTCCAAATCTTTTGCTGTGGGTCGCTATCCTAAAATGATTAAGGTTGTTGCGGGTATAAATATATATTCCATTTTACAAGACAATATAAATATTGCAAAACTTGATTAGGGCCTCAAAGCGCTCCTCCACCAGATGGCTTTTACGCTCTTTTGTCAAGTCAATTTTACGCTCTTTTGCCAGAAGACGTTTACGCTTTACTGCCAGGTGACTTTTACGTCCCTTTGCAAGGTGACATATACACACCTCTGCCAGGTGACTTTTACGTTCTTTTGCAAGGTGACATTTACACACCTCTGCCAGGTGACATTTACGTTCCTTTGCAAGGTGACATTTACACACCTCTGCCAGGTGACTTTTACGTCCCTTTGCAAGATGACATTTACACACATCTGCCAGGTGACTTTTACGTTCCTTTGCAAGGTGACATTTACACACCTCTGCCAGATGACTTTTACGTCCATTTGCAAGGTGACATTTACACACCTCTGCCAGGTA